TTGATTATTGATTTTTGATTTTTTTTCTTTATTTTCTGCAAATTGAGTTGTTTTTTGACTGTTCTCCATTGTTGCCCTAGTTCAAGCAAGAAAATAGAGGAAAAATGGAAAACCATCTGATTCCCCTGTTTCCAGCAGCCGAGGCTCTAGAATTCCAATTCAAAACTAACGGAGACGGTGAACCACAATTCATATCCGTTAAAGCAGTCGACACCGTCTACGGCTCTCGGACCCTAGAGCAAGTAGCTGCGAAGAATCGCAGAATTCTCGAGATTCAGCCAGCTCAATGGCAGTGCTTTGAACCCCGTGCAGTACAGCGACGCCGTCATCAGGCACCACAGGGTCGTTTCCGCCGCCGCCGCTGCGTCATCATCGTCGTCCGAGCAGATGAGTGCGATGATCGCTCGGATGAGCATAATGGAGGCCCGATTAAACGCAAACAGCGCTAGGGTCCACAACTCTCGATATGTCTACTCTTTGATCGGGAAATCCCAAATTCAAATTATTGGCAGAATTAGGGTTGCGTGAAGAAGGCTTTAGCAAGGGGCTATTATGATCAGATTACCTCCGGTGCTGGTCGCATCAGATGATTGGCGGTGGTGGCCGGAATCCGACGAAGAAGACAAGCTGTCTTAGAATCAGATTTCAGCTTTTGGTCCTTTGAAGAATTAATTGCTTGAAGGCCTTGGGGGTTGAATATTGACCATCAGGGCACACGGTTAGAAACCTTGAGATGTTATCCTTCCATTGGTGCTGGTGCTCGGTGGTATTCGTCAGCGGTGGTCGCCGGAATTTGGTGAGAAGTTCAGCTGGTCTCTGGAACTTTAGGGAATGGAAAGCTGCTGCAACTCTTATTAATCGGAGCCAAAGTCGGAGGGTTTGGATTGCCAATTTGGGAATCATTTCTTCTCAAAACTCGGAGAGAACCGCGAGTGTTATAAGTAAGTGTTGCATTATTTCTAATTCGAGCACGTTGTATAGCCTTTTCGAGGTCACAATCAGACGACCGTGAATCTGTCAAAATAGGGCAGTTTTGAATATTCTTCTTACAGGGCTGTTTTTGCTATGTTGAGCTAATAATTTGGGCTGTGTGTCTTCTGAGAACTTGTAGGTTACATTGTCACGTTCAATTTGGTGTATTATTTGAACAATTTGGATAACTCTATAAATTGTTATGATTTTTCAAATAAACAGTGCCAGCAGATGCATTTGTTTTAAAACCTGGCAGTTTCATGCAATCATCTTCCGGGGCTGTTATTGCTGTGTTAGGTTGATAATTTGGGCTCAGGGTCTTCAGTGAACTTGTAGATACATATGTTAGCTTTAATTCGATATATGGTTTAGGTTATTCGGATAAGTACGGTGATCGTAACGATTGTTCGAATAAGCTGTGGCAGCAAGATATTCTTAATAAATGTTTCAAGAAATTGACTATGTGATATAGTGGAATAATACGGTTATATTAGCATTTGGAATCTTATTAAGTGATAAGTATTTTTATAGGTGTCGAGCGTACTTAAGCTCTCATTCAAGACTTGAGCATGACTCGAGAGTAAGGTGTTTTTATAGCACTGGCATTGGACTTCAGGTAAGGATCACTATTTCTTCACTATTATTTATTGGAAAAATAGAATGCACACTGAGAATAAGTTGCTTCTTGATCACTTAAATGTCATATATGTTACTTTGATTCTTGAATTGTTGAAAATAATGATCTATTCGGAATCCTCTTGACGGTTCGTATCTTCTTCCTCGAACTATTCAAATAAGTTATCATTTTGATTCGAGACTTATTCCAATAATTTATTTCGTATTAATTGTGTTTTAAGGTTCCTCAATTATTATGTGAAGTAGAACAAATGAATTACAATTTTCATCATGACTAATAATTCTCAGACAATGTATCACATTCAACATATGAATTGGATGAGGTAAGTAGCTACTTCTACAAGAGCCTATACATTATTGCATTATTAGTGCTACTAAGTGACAGCTGATTGAAATTGATTCTATCATATGATTTCTTATTTTCTAATTGAATAATTATTTTTTTCCTTTTCAGGTTGGATTGTTTGATGGAGTGAAAGAACGTTATTGTGGAAGTCATATTTGTTGTCGCTTAACAATTTATAAAGTGGAATTTATTATGAAATAATTATAGCAATCTTTCTTATTATTTGGAATGATTGATTTATTATTGTATTGAGTATGATAGACTGGAATTATAATACTCGCATTTGATTGATAATATGTAAATTTGCAATCTTTAGTTTTATTTTAATATTTTTTTTATTGGTTTGAATTGCTCAGTAAATTAATGCAATTGTCGAAACCATGTAAAAACTATTGCAACCAATAATATGGTCACTATATATATATATATATATATATATATATATATATATATATATATATATATATATATATATATATATATATATATATTTTAGCAACCAAGAGATATATTATTTATCAACCAATAGATACCGTCACTATATGTATACTATGTAGCAACCAAAAAATGTGGTCGCCAAATATATATCCTATAGCAACAATAAAATATGGTCACTGTATGTATATATCATTTAGCAACCAAAAATATATGGCCACTATATGTGTTGCTATAGCAACCATGTTAATGTTATTGCAACCATAAATTTTACATTAGCGAGTCAAAAACTGGTAGCTAATAATTATATTTTCAGTGACCATTATTAGTTCGTCGCTACATCTTATTTTTAGCGTCCAATTAATTTTCTCGTCACTGAGTACTTTTAGTAGCCACCCTGTTGTGACCACCGGTGACCAAGCTTAATTTGGTTGCTATAAGTTTTAACTACCATTTTCTAACTTTTAGTGACCATAAAAAATCGTCACTGAAACCAAAATTTCTTGTAGTGATAACATAGAGCAGGGGTGGCATGACTCACCTAATATTTCTTAAATCTTTTTTATTTTATATAAGATTTATAATTATTCGTCATCTTGCTCATGTGATTGCTAAGTCGTATAGCAACATTTGTAACGAGACTTCGACTCTTCCGATCGATCCTCAACTTTTGGCCACCGTGGCCTAATAAAAAATAGTTGAGAATAAAAGAAAATTTCAATGGGGATTTATAATACGGGTTGGAATTATTAACTGCGGTTTGAAAGAGCATCAGCTTATTGAAAGCTCTATAAGATTATTTTATCTTTGATTACTATTTCTAATTAATTTAACTAATTTCATTATTTATTTAATGATCAAATACTTTGGACACAAGTTGACCGAAGAGTTGGAGTTTATACAATAGGGTAAATAGCACTTGACCCCATTTGGTTTCAACGTTTTGCACTTCACCTCCTTCAGATATTGATTTGGTCACAGTACCCCCTAAAGTAAATAATATAATTTTTAAAAAACAATTAGTATAAAATTTTGAAATAACTAATATAGAATATACAAAATATATATTTAAAGAAAAACTGTTCTGCTTTTCTAATTAAAAGAAAGGTATAAGAAATGAGTGTAGGAGTTTTTATTAAAGGAAAAATGGGTATTAACATAATATTTTAACTTAAAAACCTTCGACCACTTCAAATTTGGGCTGGTGAGCTGCACTTTCGGTATTTGAACGTGTTAGAATTTATTTCGTGCAGATATAAATTATTTGTGTCAGATTCAGTTTTTTTTTTTTTTTGTTACTGTTGCGTGAAGTGTTGCAACAGTTCGTGAAGCAGTTCGTAAAAACAGAAATAAACGAGACACAAATTTTAATGTGGTTCGGATACAATTGTACCCTACATCCACGGGGACCTGCAAATAAAATTTACTAATTTTTAGTTTTACGAATACAATAATAGGACTTAATCAAAATACAAAGACTCCCTCTTTGTTGACGCCGTTCTTGTATACTACGCTGAATTATAAATCTTCAATTTGCAGCACGTCCCTTGCTCCGCACGGTTGAACTCCCTTCAACGCTGAATCCCTCAGTCGGCGGATCGATCTCCTCCCGAGATCTGTTTAAGCCCCTCTCCCGAAGAACCGATCTTCTTTTTGTATAGAAGAAGCAAACTTGTGATACTCCTTGAATCTTGGTGTCTTCACCACAAAGCCTTGAAGCCGATATATTTTCTATGAAAATCACGTATCACGATGGAACAATAAAAACGAGAGCCAAGAATATTTTCTTTGTATATTTTCTCTCGATAAAAAGGACGTTCCGGGAGCAACAAAGAAAAGAGAAAATCTTTCTCTCCAAAAAAAAAAACACACCAGCAACAAAGAAAACAGAGATATGTTTTCTCCAAAAAAGACGTCAAACACTAACGTGTATTTGCTCCAACTTTATAAGCCTGATGAAAGAAACCTACAAGAGTCCAACATAAAATACGTATCAGGCATATTAGGATATAAATCTTATCAAAAGATATTAACTTCTATTCAAACACTGATTCCCAAAAATATATATAAAATACCAATTAATAACAAATAATAAGAAAACATTATCTCTTGATTCTCACGGTGTGAAATATATGTAAAAAAAGGAATTCTTCTTTCACAAAACTTCTACACAAGTCATTAAGTTAAGAATAACTCTTTTTAATCAATAAGATAGTTTCCTATATAAAAGAAACAATTAATGACAAATTAAAGAATTAAATTAAACAAGGAGACTTCCCTTTTGTGTTTTACGGTACATAAGGACTTGTTGCACAAGTCGTTACTCATCCCTTGTTTATTAGAATCCAATTAGATTCTAACAGAACGGTTTGTCAAACGGCAGCTACCAATTGACAACCACAAGAGGGTAAAATGACCAAATCGATATCAGAGGGGTTGAAGTGAAAAATATTTAAACTATTACCCTATAAAATTAAATATTTCTTTTTTATATATAAAATAATTTATAATTCTTTTTTTTTTCTTGTTCCCACAATGTCTATTTTGAGGTGCAAACTAAAGTCCCATTGTCTCTCGAAAGGCATATATGGTCGTGTTGGGTCGAGGAAACTCAAATGGTCTTCGATCTGAGTCCCTCAAAGGTGACATTATATCTCTCGGGAATAAGCCCCGATTCTATGATGCCAACTTCCAATTTCGCAGGAATCTCGGTCGTCTGAGCCAATCAAGAGGATTTTCAAAGTACGCATTTTCAGATGGCCGTCTGGTATTTTACGCTGCATTTCGAACAGACGTCTGAGCTTACGAGTTTGCACAATAAGGAAGTTTCAGCTGCACAAGGAATCTCCTGCATTTTTTGATAAATCTTCGTGTTTTACTTCAGCTGCATAAGGAATCTCGGTCGTTTGAGCCAATCCTAGGCTCTTTGTTTTTTTTTTTTTTTTGATAAATCTTCGTGTTTATTTGCTTACTTGGTTTTACTTGCTATTTGCGTTTACTACTTTAGTTTAATTTAGTTATAATTTAGTTTAATCAACTCTAAATTTAACTGTGTAGGGTGGGCTTGAATATAATAGGGATAATCTATCGCTGAGGATTAGATAGTTGAATATTTCTCATGGTATCGCTACTTGAACTTATAATTATCCACTATATTATTTTTTCGATACGTGCACTTGCATAGGGATACGAGCGAGTTTGTTTAGAGAAAGAAATTGGCGCAAGTTGTTCTTAATTATGCTACGTGAAAAACATAGAGTCTCATGTAGTTAAAAACATCAAAACCTTCGTCCATGTTTTTCTTAGAACAGCTGACAATAACCTTATAACATTTATTATAGCTTGATCATTTATTAATTAATATTCGAATTAATTAATTAATCCTCAAGTATATATTAGATTCAATTTCATAGTCCCATAAATTCGATTGTGAATGTATTTCAGTGCTGGAATTTGCTCCACAAACAAGCTCCTCCACCTTTCTTAATATTTCTTCTCCTCCAAAATCCAATCTGCACTGCCCATCCTACAAAATTATACACAAACTAAATAAAACCCTATAAATATATAATATATATATATATATATATATATATATATATATATATATATATATGTATATATATATATAATTGAAGTGACCTTATTATTATTATTATTATCTTGGAGAATTTGGATAGTTGAGTTCCCACATCTGGCAAAAGTGGCACTTGCTACTTCAACTTCGTGCCGATGAAGCATTCGGATAATATCGTGAAAAGTTGAAAAATCTTTGAGCCCTTTTGCTAAAACGACGTCAATGTTCGGTCCCATATTATGAACTTCAACAAGAGGCGTTTTTTCGATACTCGTTGTGGTTTGATCTTGATCACAATATTCCTTTCTTGGCAATTTTAGAGAGTCCTTTCGACTCATTTCTTCGAGCTTCGTTTTCATGCTTTTGATATATTCCACTGCTTCATCGATTTGATCCGGCACCGGCAATCCTTCAACCTGCATCCATTTTTTATTTTATTTTTAATATTTCCATTTTTTTTCAAATTTAATTGGTTACTATTTTGCATATGGTTTTATATTCAATCTCCAAGAAAGATGGACTTTTTGAATATTTTTTTATTTTTTTTTGTAATGAAAGAACTCGCAGCCAAATATATAGATGTACCGAGCAAATCTACACTCTTTCGTATAATAGTTTGCAAATTAAAATATACGAGAAACGTAAACCACACTAGGCTAACCATATATGACTGGCTCGACCTAACAACTGTTGGCAAGGGGATTCGAACCTGGGTCAATTGACACAGACTCACTTGGATCCAATCGCTAGGTCATCCCTTATAGACATATATATAGTTCTCATATATATACATATATGTATAGTTCTTAGTATGAGAGAGAGAGAGAGAGAGAGAGAGAGAGAGAGAGAGAGAGAGAGAGAGAGAGAGAGAGAGAGAGAGAGAGAGAGAGAGAGAGAGAGAGAGAGAGAGAGAGAGAGAGAGAGAGAGAGAGAGAGAGAGAGAGAGAGAGAGAGAGAGAGAGAGAGAGAGAGAGAGAGAGAGAGAGAGAGAACCTTGGAGGTATGGTGAGGAAGGAGGGAAGTGAGGTTGGAGAAGAGAAGTTTCATTTGATTTCTCCGATTCTTCTCTGTGATTTTCCTTTCAATTCTTGGAGCTGAAGAAGAACTATTAGGGCTGCAATAACGAGCTTGCTTTTCCATTTCCCAGTTGCCCTAATTAATTGATTGCAAAAATCTGTGTCTAAATATTAAACATTAAATTAATTGCAAGAGAAGTGGTAATCAATATTAAATAATAATATATATGCAATAAACATGATATATAATGTTGGAAAAACTAGAATAATTGATGGGGTTGAAAGTCAAAAAAGTAAAATTAATAGGAGGCCACTTAATTTAGATGTGGATGCATAGAAACACCCTAATTAATTATATTTCAATATAAATAGTAGTAAGAAGAACGTTTGACTTTTTGCACACGTGGTTTTTGTTAGCGCAGCTGCTCGGATCCTAGCACCAACTTCGAACCAACAAGGCTCCTTCAAAAATATACAACACGTGCTTTTTTTTTTTTTTTTTAACGGTGAAAATTGGGGCCATTTTTTTTTTTAGAATATTTCGGGTTTTTTTTTTGAGAATTGGGGTCATTTTATAATTATTTACAAAAATACAATAAAGCGTCGTTTAAAACGACGCGTTTTAAGGGCCGTTGGATTGATCTGAGATTGACGGCCAGATCTCCCTCCTAATCTGACGGCCAGGATTGAAGACAAGATCTCACGGTCCTTAAAAAGCGTCGTTTTGAAAGACGCACTTTGCGGACCGTTGGATCGAGCTGCGATCAACGGCCAGATCTCCTATTTTGTCCTCGTTATCTGACGGTCACGGATTGAAGACAAGATCTGACGGTCCTTAAAACGCGTCGTTTTGAACGACGCGCTTTGACCTGTCAGGGTTGAACGCGTCATTTAAAACCACGCGTTTTAAGGACCGTCCGATCCTTCTCGATCTGACGGCCCTGATTTACCCGAATATATATATATATATTTAATCCGAAAAATAATTTCCTTCACCCCTCATTTTTGCTGCCCTTTCTCCCACTGCTCCCTTCTTCCCAACAACAAATGTAAGTGTTCTTTGCTCTCTTTTTTTTTTTTTTAATTATTGTTTATTTGTAGTTTTTAATTTATATTTTAATTAATGTAGGTAATTTTAATTAATTACAGCAGGTTACTTATTGAGGTAATTTTTTCACTTTTTCAATTATTATAGTTAAATAGGATTTTAGTTATTAATATAATTTTGTTAAATTTTTATTAATGGTGGATTAATGGTATTTTTATCTAGTAACTTATTAATTATTTGGAGATAAATTATTTATTATATTGTTAAAATATATATAATTTTTTATGAAATTCAATTTTTTATTGTTGTTTTTACTTGTTACTTTTAGGTTAAATTTGAACTTGTGGTGGATTTAAGAAGGAATGTTTGATTAGTAGAATAATTAGTAGGATAAATTAATTAATTAATAGTGAGTTAGTGGATAAATTGTGTTTAAATAATTCTCGAAGGGAACTTGAACAAAGTAGCCGTCTCGGAGATACGAGAA